ATTCAATAAACTAGTGTTTTGGTTTTAAATAAGCTAGTGTTCCAGTACTAAAATTGCTGGAACTATGAATAACCTTTTTTTCTATTGTTATAATGAATAAAATTCTTTTATAATATATTACCCCCCCCCCCCATTTTATTTTTTTAATTCCATTTTATTTCTTTGCCTTAAAATGTGCCAGTGCCATCTACTATTTATCCGAGAACGCACAGTTCAATCTGAAATAAGATCTCTACTGTAACCAGATACAACATTCAACAGCAATAAAAGGGAATGAAAGCTTTGACACTTTGAACTCTTAACAGGAAGATTAGCAGACGGTGTGTGGGGGGTTTAAGCAGGTCAGCGCTATGGTCATGTCCAATATCACGTTCAAACATCACCCAATACTCCTTGGAACAGCTGATACCATACTGGCTAGCAAGCACTGGGCTACAGCCAGACAATTAGCTAACACAACGGTTTAACCTCAGCACAGGAGAGTCACTACACTACATAGCTCCGTTAGGTGTCTAAAATGAAAAAAGGTCATGATTTCTATTACAGAGGACATGTGTTGCAGTTACAGTGCTGATAAGCTCTTGGAATTTTAGCATCGTCAGCTAGTTAGGCATCCAAGCACCAAAGGCCTACTGTTTTTTGCTAGAATTTTTTAGGGGCTTGTTTTCATTAGGATTTTGCTTCTTTTACTTTAGGGAGCCAGGCACAAAGTGCTTGGAACCCTCTTGTTTGTATCAGGATTTTTTTAGGGGTCCAAGCACTAAGGTTTTTGGTAGGATTTTCCTTCTTTTTCTTCTGCCCTAAAATGAATAGATATATGAAACTCCCTCCCACTACTCGGGCAAACAAGACGGGCCCGCTCAGCCCAACGGTGGCGCTGTAGCACCGTGTTTTGGCCCATATGTTATGAACAAGTCATACCATGAACATTTTTGCCTGATAATTTGATTACTTCTGCCAAACCATTTAGCCCCGCCACTTAGATTTTGAGGCAATTCGCATAACTTGTTCTAGAAGTTCTGCCATCCCTTCATAAAGTTGGTGTCAAATTACTCAGTAGACCCTGAAACTCAATAATGATCAACAACCTGCTCAAAAACAGTATGCCACTCAATCCTAACAGCGACGGAGCTTAAAGTACACAAATGACTGTCATTCATGGATTCTGATTGCAGGGATTTACATGAAACTTGAATGGCATGTTCAAGAAAAGATAATGAAGATGTCTGCAGAGGTTTGGGCGGAGGTTAGTCACTCATAGGGAGTTAAGTTCAACCAGCTCTTTCTCAGTAACAGTGAGTTCATCTGAGCTGAAATTTGGTGTACTGCATCGTGACCCATACTCGGAATTTGTGCTCTGCATTTAACCCATCCAAGTGTGCGCACGCACACACACACCGTGAACACACCTGGAGCAGTGGGCAGCCTTTTTTTGCTGCGGTGCCCTGGGAGCAGTTGGAGGTTCAGTGCCTTGCTCAAGGGTCTCACCTCAGTCATCGTATTGAGGTAGGAAGAGAGTGCTGGTCATTCACTCCCCCCACCTACAATCCCTGCCAGACCTGAGACTCGAACCAATGACCTTCAGGTTACAAGTCCGACTCTCTAACCATTAGCCCATTACCCACAAAAGATACCATTGCAGAGGGGGCACCCGGATTCACAGATGAATTAATGATGACTGGACTGGCCACCATTGGCAGGGTTACCACTGAGCAACCTTTACAAATCATGGATAGTTCATCTTTGGATTCTTTATTTTTCTATTTAGCTTTGCAAGCTTTGCCCACTGGGGAAGCTTTTTATCAAGGGTGCTTGGACCCCACAGATAAGCTTGAAGTTATATTTGGTTACGTGACTTGTGTTTGCTTTTAGTGGTGTTAAAGAACATGGCTAAGGAAATAATTAAACTATGAAGGGCGCTTGACCTCCCAGTTTCTACCACATTAGACAAAATGTAATGTCTAGTTTGCAGTTTCCCATTCAGCTGTTTCTATATTATATATATCTTGCAGCTTTGCTGTTCAGCCTGTGTGCTTTTCGTCTATCAGCTACAAGAAGGAAACAGGAAGAGTTTATAGATGCCGCTCTTCTTAAACTTCTCTCCGAATGAACTGTGAAGAAAATAAAAGCATCTGAGACTTGCTTGCTGATAAAACGCCTCACAGTGAATAGCTGAAAGTGGTTTCTGTAGAAGATATTGACAATTTTGCTGTTTCTTCTCCTCTTTCATGCTGATAAAAGCATCCTGTGAACCATTCTTTATCATCATAACTGGAAGCACGGAAAGGTCACAGCACAGCTAGTATCTGACAGCACTAACCTGATAGCATCGGACAGTGGCAGCAAAATATTAGTAATGGACTGGGGCTTTTATTGTTTTTTTTTTTTTGGTTTGTTTTTTTTTTGTGGTCTTGATCGTCTCGTCACATTTTGACAGTTAATAGAGCTCTTTTTCAAAAGGAAAGGCACAGGAAGATAATAATCTCCATTAACGTAATGGTTGTATAGAATTATTAGGTCAGGGGAGAGAGAATCTCCTCTGAGGACCCTGCTGTGGGAAGGGCCATAAAAAGAGCTAAATTGAGACAGATATCCTATCGCATCAGTCATCTTTAAACACCACAGAAACCTTAGCATTCAGTCTGAAGCCCACGGCCATGGGCAAACGATAAACCCGGTTGCAGTTTTGGCTGCATTTTAACTATGTGGATTTATGTTGTTTTTGAAATTTTGTGTCCTTCATAACTCAGCCTCAATAGCCCATATCGTCTCACATCTGTTATTAATAACAGATAAATAAAGTACTCTATGAATCATTATTAGCCAGTGGAACCTTTTCCATATTATCGTTAAAAATAGGACATTCTAAAATGCTCAACATTAGAAAAGATCAATGTGGCATAAAGCAGGGGTTCCTTTAACTGTTAATAATAATAATAATAATAATAATAATAATAATAATAATAATAATAATAATATCCACAGAAGCCTAGAGTACAGATTTATTTTATGAACACAATCCATTATAAAATTAGATTCAAATGTACATTATTTAGAGGTTTACTAGGCTTTGAGTAATTGAGGTTTGGATTAAACCCATTCAAAGTGACCAGTCAAATAGGCTTATAACTATAATAATTCATAATATAAGTATAATAACTGTCATGGACCTCTGAGGGTCCCCAAGCCCTACCTTGAGAACCATGGGCTTAAAGTACCAAAACAATGCCTAAGTGATACCAAATCTCACACACCTAGTCATAAATACTATTTACTGACCAACTGACAAATCAGTAACTGAAACAGAACCCAGTAAAATACATGTTAAGCTTTTTTCAGCTCTATAGAAGCCCACTGTAAGGCATAATGTGTTAACTCCATCAGTGGACGGTGGATAGATTTTAACCAACCGGACTTCTTGCGAAAACTGCGATGAATTTATTGGTTGCACAATTGCACTATTTGTCCTTATAGTACACAATAATAGAAGGGATTTATTTATAATCGCACTATCCGTTGCACCCAGATGAGGATGGGTTCCCTTTTGAGCCTGGTTCCTCTCAAGGTTTCTTCCTCATATCATCTCAGGGAGTTTTTCCTTGCCACCGTCGCCACTGGCTCGCTCATTGGGGATAAATTCACAGTGATAAACTCAAATATTTACAATATATTTTTTGTGAAGCCATTTATCTCTGTAAAGCTGCTTTGTGACAATGTCCATTGTTAAAAGCGCTATACAAATAAAATTGAATTGAAATTGAATTGAACTGAACAGTGAAGTAGAAACACCAAATTTCTCCCACACATTATAAACAGCATGATAAGCATTTTAGGCTCTATCAAAACCTATTATAAAGATACAGCTTAAGGTGGGGACCTAGTAACACCAGATTTCTCAGAATTTTAAAACAAAGGACAAATGAACCTGAAGTCAGGAAGTGAGGAAGTCACATAACGTGCCTCAAAATTTAAATTAGCCATGTATGTGCTGACTTTGGACAACTGTAAAGGGCAGAGATTACATTCCCGGCCATGTTAAGCATGGAAACTCATTACGGAATTACATTATATGATGCAGAAATTGCTTTATTTATTTAAATCTGTACGCCTTGTATTATAATACACTTGCATTCTAAAACATTGTTCCTGTCAATCTGGCATATAATCACCCTACCTCCATCCTGTACTCCTGACAAAATGATAAATTATTGCTGTATCTGATGTATATATATGGCTCTTGTCAAACATGTTTGAGAGTGCTGGAGGAATGAGTATGAGCATGAATAATGGATAGTGATGGAGAAATAAAGGCACAGCACAAACTGAAAATAATGCAACTTTTGAGTTTACCTCACGGACAGACAAAAAAACACACACAGACTGAGCTTGATGCTTCAGGTGCCGTCAGGTTCTTTTTCTAGGCAGCTCACTCCATCAATATTAATAGTCAGCTAGAACAAAATAGCCAACCACTTGTGCTGCAATGAGGATTAAAAGTAGACCGAATTTCATTTCTAGCCAGCGAGTTTGCATTCCAGTGTGCTAATGCGTTAAATCTCTGGTGAGATTTATGTTCCTCTTGGTTAACACTTTCTGGAGTGATGCTTGAATTCGGAGCTCCCTATGATTAGAGACTTGCTTCTGAAACCTCATGTGTGAAACCTATTTCTCCATAGCCTAAAGCACAAATTCTTAGTTGAAATTTTGTTGTACTGTATGGAACCTTGAATACACAAGTATTCACCCCTATAATATTGAAGTGGGAGAAAATCAACATAGTTTGCTAAATCATTTACAAATAAAATAGACATAAATGTTGTGATTACATAAGTATTTTCCCCTGTTGCTGTGATCATTCGTCCACATATTTGATTTGGCACAGTTTTTTTTTTTAAAAAACACCAAGTGCCCTTTCTGACGCAACCCTCCCCAATTTATTTCCGGGCTTGGGACCGGCACCGAGTGCGCACTGTCTCGTGTAACCCCAGTGGCAGGGGTCGGTTCCTGGCCGGGAATCGAACCCGAGCTGCAGCGATGACAGCACCATAACCTAACCGCTAGTCCTCCAGGGACCCATGCAACAAATAAGATAAAATAAGTAAAATGAATGGGTCAAACATCTCACATTGACGGTCCAAAATTGTCTGCATCACACATACTCTACTATAGTGATTACACAAGCCTGATGCCTAAAAAACAAATACTGTCGAAGAAACCCTAAAACAAAACACCAGAAATTACACACAGACATTCCTAACTTGCTCAGTGACTCCCCTGCGCTTTCTAAAACCAACCTTTCTAAAAGAACAGGCATTAAACAAGCTGCACAACCACTAAATTGATGGTCCATTACACAGAACGCCATCTGTTACAGTTTGCTGAAACAGTCCCACCCCACAGCATACTGCATATTAGTGAATCATGGGACTGGAAAAAAAATAAAAAATCATGGGAGTATGCACATGCCATATTTATATGAACCAAATGTAGAGAAGTACCTATAACATGGGTAAACCATTTTTCACAAACATGAAGCCAATTTGAGCCGATGAAGTTCCAAATGGATTTTTTTTATATATATAATGCCAAAAAAAAAAAAAAAAAAAACATTATGTGGTGGCTTCTATTTAAGAAAAGTTTTTTTTTACACTAATTAAATAAGACCATCATACATCTTACCAGTTTATGGTTATGTTTAATGTAGTGGAACTGCCAGTCTGTCTTGCTAAGAACTACTAGCATGCAAAATGTGAAATTCGCACCCCAACAAACGACCATCACATGACTCATGATGTCATTAACTTGGGGAAGGAAAACAGTGAGCAACAGTGCGTGTTTTTTTTTTTTTTACTCAAGTAGCACATATTAGCATGCAACATGGACTACACATTAGCATATGGCCAAAACAATCAGGCTATTTATCATGTGGCTCTGAACCCAACAAATCAGGGCACACACCATATCAGTGCTGTTTAGGCATGACTTTTGAGCAGTGAATTATAAATAGTGTCTCTGCATGCCTACCAGGCATGTTAAATTGCATTTAAAATGTCAGCGTCAACAGAATTCCATTTGACGAGATGCAATTATCGTTAAGCATGCAAAATGGCATTTCTTACTATTTTAGATCTCTTTAAAAGTCTGCAAGTTAGAAAGCAGCCAAGACTACATATAATAATTTGAATGAGATAAAAGCAAAAAAAAAAAAAAAAAAAAAAATTGACCTACCTTGTTACCTTGATTATCATCATGCTGTCACAGCCGTCTGTTCTCTTCATGGAGACCTCAAGTGGTTCTTTTCCTCCTCCTTCCTTCTCCATCCAAATTAAATTGATGACCCCATGCAGTGCAGAAAAGGGTCGGGCACCTTGAGACTGATTCAGAAGAGGCTTCAGAGGAACAGCTGGCCCTTAGTGCTATGAATAACGCATGAACTCGCCTCTTGCTCTTTAAAAAAAAAAAACTGGAAAACAGGTTTGTGGGTTTGGGTTTATAGATTTGTTCCACAAACCCAAATTGTTTCTCTAATTAAAAGGTATCAGTGACACAAACTAAAGAATCACTTTATATAAAAAAAAGACATTTTGTGGTATAGTTTCAGAGATTTAGAGAACCATTTTATTCCAAATTCTAGTTATTTCACACACATCCAGTGTTCTTGGAAACTGAGGGGTACATAAACTCTGGAGAAATAAAGAAGTAAAGAAATAAAAGCATCAGGTGAGTGTTCAGGTGACCAGGAAGTAGCCTAGTGTTTTGGTGATAGGGGCCTCTGGTGGTGTGGGGTGGAACTGTCAGACCGTGACCATGCTTCTCAACATGGTCTACTTTATTTGAGTAGATCATTAAAAGTTAATTATAATGTACACTCAATTTGAATCTAAACCTACAACCAATCAACAGTAAATAAATAAATACATGAGGATTAAAATGACATCTGGGTAAACTCTGAAATCTACAGTCAAGTTAACGTGATCCCTTCCTAGGTAGCAAACTGACATTGGACAGACCAACATCTGTTTTGTGGCTATGTTGGCCTGCCGTATAGAATGTTGTACCAATGTTGGCAAAGTAGATTTAAAGGTGACTGAAAGTTTCAACATCCAACAATGGCCCAACATTGGTGTGCTGAGTTATCTACTGTAATTTACATTAGTTGATAAATTGATGAAATGTCCCTTAAGTGGGGAAATCCCTCCATGAACACTCTCTCCGTATTATTACATTTTGCGAAGTCTTGCCATGTTTTCGTTACAGTCTGATCCTCGTCCATTTCCTACACGCCATGTTCAATTCATCCTCTCTTTGTTTCCTTCCACTGTGAGTCTGTTTGGTCTTTGATATTTCAGTCAGTTATGAGTTTGATCATAGCCTGCACTATTGAACCTCTGATCCTATATTCTAGCCCAATCTTTTTACACGTCAGTAACAACAAAAACCCCTGCTGAGCATTTGCAGTGAAATGGAGGAAAAAAAAACCCAGCAAAAAGTCTAGATGTAATTATAAGTGTGATTTTATTCTTGGTGAGTATTGCCTCATTAAAAATGATACCAGCGAGCTTTTGGATTCTCAGTTTTAATCAGTCAGAATGTGCTGTGTGTTGAATGTCCAGAATTTTCTACAACAGTAGCTCTGACAATTGTGCAGCTGCGAATCTCAGGTTTAAACGAATGCATCATTTCAATTCATTAGCGTTTCTATATATAACTCATTCACGGGGACTCGTATGTCAGATAGCTAGCTAGCTGTGGGCAAGATGTGGGGATGTTGACAAGACAGGCTGGTGGAAAAAACTGTTAGGAAGCCGGTAGAGAATGCAAGGCAATTATATAATCCCAACAGATTTTTTAATCCCACCCCTGTGTGGGCCATTTTGTGTACACAATTTTTCCCCCCTGCCCATTCGTTAAGGAATTCCTACCCTTTAAATCTACATCCAATTTGAATAAAATCTTTGGACTGTGGCAGACTGAATTCCGTCGTGACCAGCGCTGTGTGAAAGAGCACTTTCAGAGCCGCGGGTTGCACATCAGTTTAGAATCTGATCCCACTCAGTTTAGGATCAGAAGAATCTCATGCTAGCTCAGACTGTTTTCAGGTGCTACCGAGGCCGGAGTCAAACATGGCTCTGCTGATGGGCATGAGCTTCCACGCTGTGCAGTTTCAGTTTCAGAAACAACAATTTCAGATGAGCTGCCAGCTTGTCCAAAGGAGTGCATTTTAAGAAATGGTGTGTCCTTAAATCGTCTACTATGGTACACTGATTTATTTACTTTCATTAACTCCTAACTGAAGGGAAACATTTTTTTTCTGCACAACGGCCTAAAAATAGCAAAACTAGTTTTTATCTATGGAAAATGCAACTATTCAGTAACTTTTTTTTAATTACTGCTTGAGTAGTCGACTAGTAGTCATCCAACCCCTAACCCCTAATCATGTCATTTTAAATTATTTAAAAATGAAAAAAAAAAAAATTTATTAAATCTATATCTATTAAATCTATCTATCTATAAGTATGTATAATTAGCAAAAAAGAAAATTCCCCCTATGACCTACACGATCTCTATGGGGTAAGGATGGGTCAATATTTTCAAATGTTCGGGAAAAAAAGAGGCTGCACTAAATATGCACTTTTGATCTTTTCATGTGCTGATATTGTTTGAGAAATTCATTGCCTGGTTATTACCATTTGACATTTTACAAATTTGTTTAAAGAGCAACATTATTTTCTTTCATTTTCTATGTTAGGTGTGAATAAATCACCAACGTGTGCATGACTAATAGTGAGTCTCCAGCTGTGTCATGCTCCACTGCAGAATAATAACTTGTAAATCCTCACAGCAGTACTGCAAAAATGAGCTCATGTATGATAAATTCAGGCACACTGCTTCCGTAAATCACTGTCTTAATCCCCGGCACTGGAAAAAAAGCCTAATTATATCTTTTACGGGTTTCTACTGAATGGTAAGGTTTTTTGATGAATTTGCCATTGCTGATCCTCAAATTGAAGTCTTTGCTTTTCACACCACAGATAAGATAACCTATTTTTCCTTGGCCTAGTTCATTTCATGGTGAGAAGGGCCATTTCTGTTCACTATAAAGGTATGAGGCGGCCTGAATTTTCTTCATCTTCCTGATTCAAAATGCCCAAAATTTTATTCACAGTAATAAAGTGTCACGAAGGCATGGATTTAAAACTCCAAGTGGTTACTCTGTCAAGGTTTCTCACAAGTCTGATGATTCTTTTGAATTAAGCTTGACCTTAAACAATATAAAGGACATATTTCTATTCTCAGGGTTCCATTTTCAGGCCTATTATGTTTCGATATTCTTACATTGGAAAATATTAACATGACAGAAACATATCGGCGATTGATCAGGGATCCTTAAAGACGTTCGGTAATTATCGTAAAATACATTAACGTAAAGCCACACTGAAATGATTTGGTCTAATTTTGGTAAATTCAGGCTTTACTTTATTATTATTATTACTGCTTGAATAGCATTTATTATTATAAGTCCAAGCGGATACACAAGTCCTGACTGCTTCTATATTAAACATCACTTCAGTTCGAGAGTTGCATCAAAGGTTGCCAGTTCATTTAGAGATTCAAACTAAGGTTTACTGTTTATTTTTAAAGCTCAGTGGGATTCACCTCCAGTCACTTCGCTCCTTTTGGCTCTTTTTCCCTGAGGCCATCTGCTAATTTTTTCCTGACTTCCCACTGCATAACTGACCTTTATATGCCTAAACCCAAAAATATTCGATATTTGACAAGAAATGCTCTGCTAGCTAGGCTGGTAGTAACAAATTAAAGGGCTAGATCATTAATGACTTTATACTGTATTTTATTTAGATATAAGATGAAAATATTTCAGAATGAGATTATTATTTAGTAAGGTGAAAAACATTGATTGTAATTACTTCTGAAAAATTACCAGCATACCTTTTTTATAGATTGTATTTTTATGCTAGATTGATAAGCTATAATATTAAAATTGTCTGTTTGTGAATTCCATGGTGGAGGTAGCAACAACAACAACAACAACAACAATAATAATAATACTCAC